TTACACTGCAGTTTGGAATTCTATTTCTCCTAAGCTTTTCGTCATCTAGTCAAACTGGAAAAAGAGGTGACCCGCAAATAGGTGCGGTTTTTCTTGTTAACAGGTGAGAGTTCAAGAACAGAAGTTGTTGTTTTTATGTGGCTTCTTAGGAGTCCATTACCATAGTGACCGTATGCATGATGGCCCAAAACCACCATCTTTCCTGGTTCTGCCACAGTGTTTAACACGTTTGTTGTGCTCTTCTTATCACTTCCTTTGGGCTAAATGGAGCTCAGACAACAGGGCTAATCCAAGTGATACCAGAAATCAGAGGGAAACAGCCTCCACAGGGGTTGTCAGAGGTTGAAGTTTCAGGTAGAGATCAACTGGTTACTTTTCCAGAATCTCACCTGAAAGGGGGTGTGCAATCCATTTCATTGATGCCAGCTAAAAATAATTTGTGACGGACCATCACCTACTGACTTAAGAGGAACATCAGACACTGTGGTGAGGGACAGAAGCTTCCTTGAAAATTGTAGGAGACGTGGTTATAAGCTGTGATTATAAGCAGTGCTTTGAAGGAAAGGGTCCAAAGGAGGAACCATGATAAGCTCAGAAGTGACCCAGAATGTTGTAATTAGGATACCTGATATCATATCATAACTGTTAAACGTTTAGCTGCTAAGGGAAAAATCAGAGGTACAAACGCCAGAGGTGTTCTGTGACAGAACTCACTGTGAAAATCTGCGTCTGTCAATAATTCCAGACATTGAGACCTTGGGCGATAGTGTCACTCTGCCCTCAGAGATCCAAATAGTATGAGTCACTTCAAACTCGACCGCGCACTTACAACAGTAACACACGTCTACTTGAAGACAATGACTTTGGAGTCATCTGTGAAAGGTTATAAAAGGCTCAGTAAACAAGTCTGATGAATTCCTTTCCAGAGGACAGAGATTTGGATCTAACAGAGTAAAATTTACAAGGCATGGATGTCACCATAAAATTGTATGCGTAAGCAGATGAAGAATGTGTCTTCCATTTGTAGATCTAAGCTGGATGGGCACAGTGATTAGAACAAGAGAGTAACAAGGGCCCGAGATGAGGCCACCTCAGAACCACCATGCGTTATGTGAATGATCCAGGACCCTCCACAAGGCGGGACCCGGAGCGGGAGGGAGGCTACAGTTGGTTTCTCCGTGGAGCTGGAGACAAACTCATCCTTTCTAATCTGCTCGCTACAGAAGACGACCCTCTCAGTCAGCTGTGCTCTCGTGTGTATCGTTCATCTCCGAAACAGCTGATTTTGTGAATGCAGTAGTTTTGGACCATGGCCATCAAAGTTGGACACATTTTCCCCACCTAGTCGGCTCTGACAATCTAAGTAACACAATGCCAACCAGAGCACTAGTCTGCAGACCGAGTATCATCCTGAAAGAGACAGAAGCGTCAAATAGTTCACTCTGTCCTGGCAGAAAACAAAAGAAACGCCGTTCACAATACCAGAGATACATGGTTCAAATCCACCAGATGCTCTGCTGGAGAAGGAAGGACAATCTCCTCCTGTACCAG